ATATACACAACACAAAAACATATATATATATATATATATATATATATATATATATATATATGTATGTATGTTTATATCGTTATGGTATCACGTCGGTATTGAACCACAATCCTATTGGATTCGGCACGTTTTCAAGCTCTCTGAATCCTGATTTGTATTGGAATCACAGCAACCAATCAGCTATCCACTCTTTTTCTAACCCAGTATCTTTAGTCATCCTGCTCGCTTCTTGCTTTAGGTCAAACTTATTACACTCGCGTTGCTCCAAAAGATCTTATGGTATTCATCAACCTGGCTAATCTCTATATGAACAAATCACCACCGCAATTGGACGAGGCCGGTCAACTTCTTCGTCGTGCAATCTCTCTCCGGTCGGATTTTGTGGATGCCTATCAAAATTACGGCAGTGTTTTGATCAAACAGGGCAAGTAAGTCACTCAACTTTCGTTGTTCCTGAATATCACATTTCCATATGTTTGGACGAAAATGTACAATGTTTTCTTCGAAAACGAGGCGTTATAGTTTACCACGATTGTCACTAGTATACTGTTACGAACTGAATGTTTTCGGTATCTTGCATGCATTCGAAACCACCAGAAGCACTCAGTTCTTTAAACCATCGATTGAATTGTTTGCACACTTGCGTTTTATGGATGAGTACTCTATTCCCCTGTACTACACATGCATGTCACATATGCTTTATTAATTGTATGCATGCATGCGATGCCATTACTGGGTGGGACATATAGTAATATGATGGGTTACTGTAGCTGCATCGAAATAACGTGAATAATCCTGATGGATTGTGCCTGATTTCTTGATCAATGTATTGAAATTGGACGCATTTATCATCAAATACTCTGTTTTCGATCCACAAGTAGCAGTAACTTGCTAGGTGTTTATCTTTGAATGCACGACTTAAACAAGCACTTGGCCACAGTCCAATTGCAATAATTTGAGCTAGTATTGTTGATTTTGTGATGTACTGTAAAGCGTTGATATTTCCTTTCGACCTGGATGATCAAAGTGATAACTACAGTGGCGTGCATTGAATTAGATTACTAAAATACAAAATTCTGCGTCCTCCTCCGAACGGTGATTGATCCCCGCGTGTGAAACTATATCCGTCAAAGATCGGCAATGATATGAACTCGTACACATAGGCGCGCTTAGTGCTAGAATATCCCTCTGTTCTGTGGATACACGAGAGAAAGAAACTGCAATTTTCACTGGTGACAATAACTGCGATAGGTTATTCAATCTTCCATGTTGCTTTTTTATCGCACGGATTGCTAAATGAGGCATCAAGGCGNCATAGCATATAGTCCGGTGAAATGAACAACTGTCCCCAGTGGATTGCGCTTTTCACACTCACACAGGTTGCAAATTTCTGAAGAAGACTCACTTACTTTGGCTTGGCAGTATTCCGTTCACAAGAAACTAGTCAGGATTAAGAGAAGCGCGAGATGTAGTAGTAATAGCATCCATAACAATAATAATGATATGATTTCTGAACTCGAGCAACTGCAAACTGTGTGCACCTTTGAGTAATTTGACGACTTGTGCACCAGTGTGACTCAATATGCTTTACGGAGCGACTTCTTCTACGCCTAGTATTAGGTCAGATCCGTACCACACGGCTGTGAGACTTTCCGTTTGCCAGTAGGAGGACAGTCTCTGATTTGGATCTATGCATCATAGGTCACTGCCTGGTTTGACATGACTTGGGTGTAGCTAGAGTGAGCTGAAACGTTATGTTTGGTGATGTCATGCCGGAAAAGTTGATTACTACAACGAATTCGTATGTGTAAACTTCTCCGGTTAGGACACTGACGCATATTTCACAATCATCTGCCGCCCTGTGCCCAACCATATCAGCATTCTCCTATTCGTGCCTATAGAAAATCTAACGCAAACTGCGTGACCTATCATTTATTATACCGCAATTATATTTCTTTACTAATCAGTCACTGGTAAGATTGCTTGCGCAGCAGTTTTTCTTACTTCCTTTCGCTCGTTATTCTTGCTGTATCACTTCAGATAGAGTTTAAGCAACTTAGGCGAAGCCTCCACGTGATAATCAGCTTCCGGAAACCATCTAGGCGATCTGCTGTTGGTTCACATTTTGCTAACCGGGTCTCGTTCGCACGGTGCTAATCCATCTAAATGAAGATCAACTCCCTTTGTCGTAAATTTCTCTGTGTTCGGCGTGTTCCCGAATACGCTTTGATTCCGTGGTGCCCTATTCTTAAAAGATTCTGAAGACATGATCGTCCTTTTCAGACCGACAACGACCTCGTTAATTTTTGCCGGACGAAATCTGCATAGCTTATACAGCCTCCTCATCAGTTAAAAAATAATGTTGATATTAATCCGTTTATTTTATTTAATTGGCTATTTCAGATTTTTTCGATAATAAATCTATTTGAATCATATCGTCTTTTTTGCACTGAAATCACCACAAGTAGCCGGACAAGTGAGTTTCAACCAGTTTATGGTTAACCCCCGTTTGTGTATGGCTAGCTGCTCAGTTTCCTCCTTGCTAACTCAGCTGGACCATGTAGTCGTGTTCAGCATAGCTCTTTCACCGATTCAGAATGATCAACTTTATTCACTGTTCCGTTTAGACTACAAGAAGCGGAGGCAGCGTTTCGCACGGCGATTATCTATCAGGAGAGAAACGCAGATTTGCATTATAATGTGAGTTCTACCTTGTCACTGCTCCGTACGCCGAAATGGTTGCAGTGGATAGCTAAACTCTGATAGGCGTTTTACTTCAAAATCGGCGCGGATGTAACTTGTCACCCCGCCACTCACAAGTAATTGTGAGTCGAATTGGAATTAACTATTAATAACAAACCCTGGTACTTTGTTTTCCCCTCCTACATTCAGTCAGGAATTGTGATAAATTCTATTCTATTGAGAAGGCAAGCGGATGAGACACGTTTATAGGGACAGCAAAAAACGTTGGTTTTGTGAATCATGGTCATGTATTGTACTTCTTCCGGACCACACCCAGGATGGAGAAAATAAAAAAAGACTGTATGGTTTTGATATAAAATATGGCGGTTGTGAAAGCTTAAAACATCGATGATTCTTGATAAACTGGTGGATAAATGGTAAAATATATATACCGCGATACGAAAGCTACAAACACTATAACTGTGTATCGCTTTCGTTTTTCATTTGCCGTAAGATGTAGGTGTTTGCGATCGATGGTTGTACACAAAGGGAATTTTCATCTTCTATCATGTCATTTCGTTTCATAATAACATTGAGCAATAATTATATTCTGTAACATTTATTCATTGTGATCTTGGGATGATGAGATCGCCACATATAGCGGAAGGCCTGTTTTGGTGTCTGGTAGGTATAGATCCTAAAATGTTAAATTTTCTTGTTTATCCTCGCAAACGATTTTACCTTACCTAAGGAAGGAGTTAGACATAGAACCGTAGTTGAATGATTCAGCCCCACAAAGTCCATCAACCAAGGTGTGCATCGCTGTTATAAGAAGCCCGGATGTGGTCTGTCGATTCAATTCGAAACGCTTCTATAATATTGTGTATTGTGCCTTCGAAGTATCACTCGTATCTGGTGGGAACCTCCCGTTGAAAACGATGAGGTTCGTCGTCGCTTGGTGGATGCGGATGGTCGTTCTCTAAAAGAATTAATCGCTCTACACCGCCCCCGAAGGTTCGGTCATCTTTTGCGCATACCTGCCATCGTCTATCTTTCCGTTGCGCTCAGACTATGACATGGTGTGAAGATATGAAGAAGTAAGCTTTATAATTGGCTTCGGTCAGTGCCGCCCGCTTTCCAGGCTGGAACTCTGTTAAAGAAAAGCTTATTTTCCCCTGTTTTTCTAGTTATTTATTTAATTAAATGTGAAAATCCAAAGTTACGCTTCAAATAGGCTCATTTCACACCAGCGGTCCCTGATTGGTCAAGTTATCAAAATATTTGGGCTTTTGAGCTAATTTCTAAAATGAATGATGGCCGTCCGTGAAAATGTGTTCTGAAAGATAAGTTATCCACTAAAATCACCTTTGGGTCGAGTCCAATAGACAACCCTGCCTGAAGATCTTTTCGCCTTCTTGCTAATCGGTCGGGGCTTAGGGACGTGTACTGTTGGGTGTGCTCGCGTGGTTCTCCTCCGGTCACTGCGTCGCTCTGTTTTTTCACTATGTAGCTCTGTGCTCATCCGATTCATCATCCTTAATCGTCTGATCTTTACTGCTATCCGCCAATCACAAAAGGACCAGGAGATGAGGATTGCCGAGGGCTTGGTGCGCTTAGAGATACAGTTCAGTATCGAAGTCAGTGACGCGAACTTTGTGCGGTTTGTTTGTTGAAATCGTGTTCCCCGTAATAGACCAGAAAACGTTTATGGTGAAACTAAAAACGTTCGTTTGCTGTTCTTCCTTTATCCCGTATCTGTACCTAACCCGAAACTTCACATTGTCGTTGTTGTGTTAGCACCGTGCATTTTCTCACGT